CTTATTTTATACATACAGTAGTATGTACTATATGAATATTGATTCAATTCATTGCAGCAATAATCTTTTGGCCGGCGGGGAGAGTGACTTCTTTCGGCATCAACTACGGCCGGATCGGAAACAACCTCCCGTCGCCGGAAACTGCCGTCCGGCTAGTGAAATGCACCGGAGCAACAAAGGTCAAGCTCTACGACGCCGATCCCAATGTGCTCAGAGCATTCGCCAACACCGGCGTGGAGCTGATCATCAGCGTCGGCAATGAGCGCCTGCGGGAGATGAAGGATTGCGACAAAGCCCAGGACTGGGTGGACCAGAGCGTGCGCCCGTACTTACCGGCGACCAAGATAACGACCGTCATAGTCGGGAACGAAGTCCTGAGCTCGAGCGCCGCCGCTCCCCGCCACCAAGACCTCCTTCCGGCAATGCAAAACGTTTACTACGCTCTCCAGATGCGGAATCTCAGCAGTCAGATCCGCGTCACCACCGCCCACTCCCTCGCCGTGCTTGAGGCCTCGTATCCCCCGTCTTCCGGGGTTTTCCGGAAGAATTTGACCCAGGATTTCTTATGCGAAATCCTGGGGTTCCTGAATTCTACCGGATCCCCGTTTTACATCAACGCCTACCCCTATTTTGCCGTCAAGGCCGACCCCGAGCATGTGAATATCGACTACGCGCTCTCCAACCCGGATTCCGGGATAACTGATGACCACACGCATTCTCATTACGACAACCTGTTGTTCGCTCAGATCGATGCCGTTTACGCGGCGTCGGCTCAGCTGGGGTACAACAGTGTGTGCGTGGAGGTCTCGGAGACGGGGTGGCCGTCCAAGGGGGACCCCGACGAGACCTCCGCCACACAGCAGAATGCAAGGGCTTACAATGGGAACCTTTTGAGTCTCTTGGCGCAGAAAAAACGGACTCCTTTGACCCCGCCGAATTGTGGTATGGAAGCTTTCCTGTTTGCGCTGTTCAATGAGAACATGAAGCCGGGGCCGACGTCGGAGCGAAACTATGGGCTCTTCAACGCCGACGGGTCGCCGTCGTATGACCTTGGATTTGCCGCCTGCGGCATGAACGCTGGAAATAACTCCGGCAGTTGCGGACCGGTTGGAGGCGTTATGCCGCAGCCGCCCGCGTCTAATCAGACCGCCTGGAGTCCGTGGAACAGCTATATGTCGATTACTTCCGACGCCGTTCAGGTGAAATTTTTTTATTGCTCTTTCATTCCCACTTAACCCCCCACCCTCCCTCTTCCTTTACTCTTCATTCAACCTTTTGTGCCATTCCATTATACTCCGTATCATTTTTGGATATGAAAAGAATATTTTCAATTCAAAAAAATTTAATGATGCACATCAATTTTAAAAAATGTTACTCCCTCCATTGCGAAAAAGTTCTTCTTTCTTTTTTCATCCCTCCCAAAAAAACATTTCCAATTTTCTTTAAAAAAGTCACTTTTAACACTACTAATTCTTAACTTACCTATCACATCACATTTTTTCTCTATTAATCTATCCATCACATTCTACTTTATCCATCACATCAAAGAGCATTTTTCGAAACTCAGCACCAAAATAGACTCTCCTTAAATCATCAAAAAGTCAAAACAATAACTTTTTTAAGGGACAGAGGAGTATAATTTAAAATTATTCCGTAGCATTAAATGATATTTTAACACTAACACTAATAACTGAAATTATTACCAAATGAACACTTCATGACGTTTATAATACCTAGTGCTAGGGGTACACCATTTAGTGTACACCACTTGCACATAAAATGTGTGATAGATATATATAGATAGTAACTGTCGGTACACAATTGTTGTCTGTGTATGTCTTTGACACACTTAGGGTGCAAGTGTTGTTCAATAAACTTTATTGATAATAGAAATTGATGGGAACCGAGCCCATCGAGAGAATACCAGCAAATTGGGCCTAGGCCCAATCTAGATCCCGTCCATCAAAAGGAGGATCCGGCCCAGAGAAAATACACTGGGCCGGTCAAGGGAAGTTGTTCGTGAGGAAAGTTAGGGAAAAGAAAAGGATTGGGGCTTAAGGATGGGCTGAAGCCCAACCCATTAAGGACAAGCCACCCAAAAGGAAGAAAGCCTATAGAGGAAATTATGGTAAGCCGCCCCTCAAGAAGAGGGACAAGGCCGAGGAGAAAGGGACGGACGAAGGACAGGGGATAAGAGATGGACGGACATGTTTGTCCTCCAGTGGACGGCTTCAAGCTAAGATACATCCCTCCCGGAGAAAGCAAGGTTGGCATGAATATCCTCCCCAACCACTGCGATTATTTGAAGGAGATAGTGGATGGGGAGCGCATATAAAAGAGAAACTAAGAGATGAGGAATCATCTTGTAATAGGGAGAGAAAAATACTTGAGTAATAATAAAAGTTATTCCGGCTATCCATGAGTATATTCCGATCCTAAGTGGACCGAATGGAGGAAATGACCGCCGGTTTGAGTTCTTATCCTGTGAGCAATACTTCTCTTACTATTAATTACTATTCTCGTATTATCTTTCAATATTATAAGGCCCGGATACCTATATTTAGTCTTGGACCGATCTACAGTACCTGGGAAAAAATTGGGTATCCATCAGAAATTATGTTGTACATTACTTCATATATCTCCTCCCTCTCATGTAATTTATATGAATCAAGTATGAGGGAACCCTAAGATAGAGTTCATCATTTTATATTGTGTACTGTCTTGGGCCTTTGATCAGTATCATGAAGGAAAAATTGCATTTAGGGGTGTGTAAAAATTGAGTCAGACCTTGTTTTAGACATGAACGAGACGAGAATGGATTGGTCAAGTTGATACGAGTATATCCATAGCCTTCAAAAAATTTATTTCCTCCGTCTCAAAGAGATTGGTACATATTCACTTTTTGGAAAATTAAGAGAGAGATATTTTCGTGTTGACTTTCCAAAAATATTCTTGATGTGATGGGTAAAAGTAGGATGTGATGGGTAGATTATTAGGAAAAAAGTATGATGTGATAGGTAGGGTATGAAAAAGTAAGGGGTAAAAGTGGTTTTTTAATAGAAATATAACGGACTTTACGTGACGCAGTTTTATCGAAACGTGTAGGACTTTTTGGGACGGAGGGAGTATTTTTTTAGTTTCGGTCCAATCCAAGTAATCCGTCACCAGATAAAAATAACTCAGGTCAGTTTCGTGTTGGTTTTTTTAAAAACTAGGGAGTAGTTTACTAAAGCCAACTTCATAAGTTTTCCTCACATACATGACCCACTTACCAAGTTTAATTGCTTATGTGAGTGTTACTATGGATTATGGTATTTATTTTGTGCTTTGTTGTTCCATGCATAGACTTGACCATGTATTTGCGTATCTAGCCGTTCTCTAAAATTTACCTGCAAAATAACAGACTTGAACTTTGGTGTTTTCTCCGGCACATGCCGGAGACTATAGTGAGCTGCATATGAATGTTTTTAAGAAGGATTATGCTATGTGTACCCCAAGGTTTGTATCCCAATTTGTACCCCGTAGTTTTGCACCAACACTTTGTGTTAGTGTAAAACTAATTTTTGTTAAATGCACCAACATTTGTGTCCGTGTGAATTTTTATTAACGCACCAACACTTGTGTCGGTGTAAACCATCGAAATGTTTGTGCAAACCTATGGTGTACAAATGGGGTATATTTTTTGGTGTAAGTGTAGCATGGTCCTTTTAAGAAAGAAAAAGATAACAATGTAAACTTTTTTTTTTGAGATGGATGCATAAGAAAAATTGAGTTTAATTTGAAAACAAAAGGTGTGCGAATTAAAATTTGAGAAATTTACCTAAGTAGGTCTAAAACATAATGACTTTTCTAATATAGGAACATATGTTTTTATTTTCCAATGTAGGACCTTTGGTCATTATCAATTAGTCATTATTCAAATAAATGTTCATCATTTACTTGGGAATAAAAAAGTTAAAGTCTTATATTGGGAAAAGATTTACTACCTCCGTCCCATTTTATAACGCCGGTTTCGGTTTACGATGTTTGACTGAAATTATTTTCAAACTATTTTATATGACAAATGGTATAGAATTAAAAAATAAAAATTACATATTAAAAAACTACATCAAAAAATCTACAAAACTAGTAGTGACAATAATATTTTATTTTATCAAATTGCTAACGAAAATAGAGAAAGAAAGTGAATGAAGTTTGACCCTATAAATAGTAAACAAGCATTATAATTTGGGACGGAGGGAGTATGTTTTAATTACAAATTTCACTTAAAATTTTGGCCTAAGAACGTGGATGTTTTGATAAATGTTATGATTGTGATTTCAGGTGAGACTCCCACGATTATGCAGCAAATGGATGTGTTCTATTATAGCATTGGGCTTCCTATGTACACTTCATTATGGTAGAAAAAATCCTGCATTATAGTTACTTATTAGCAAATGTGATTTGGCTGGGTTGGGGTTGGTATTTCTTTCAAGAAATGAGAAAAAGAAATGTACCGAGATTTAGCGGAGTACTCTATGTAAGAAGAACAAGTACATTTCATCATTTCACAAATAAATGCATAACTCCCACCTTCACTTTTCCTTTGCTATTGTTGGTGATTTGTTAGGACATTATTACTATTTATCAACTTTTTATTTCTCCATTTTAAGTTTTTTAACAGCTATCGATCTATTCTGTACCATAAATTAATCACATATGCTTGCTCTTTCTATGCCCACTATTTTAAAGACATCAAAGAGTCATTCCATTACTTTTGAATATGTGGAAATGTATATTGTAGGGAAAGTGAGTCGATGTACGCAATCTGACCCCTATGTTTAAAATATAGAGCAACTATTTTCAGACGACCCATGCTGAGCGTCGAAAGTTACATCGACCAACTACCACTTCATTATTGAAAGAAAAGTAAAAGATACACAAACAGTTTAAAGGGTCATTTTGCTTTCCTCCATCACACTCTAAAGCTAAAAAACAGTGAATCTTTGGCTCCATCGGTGATAATGGAGACATATTTTTTACTCTAATTATTAATTATTCGTATAATGTGTTCTCGTGCCTCACACATGTTTTACACGTATATGGAGTACGTTCGAAGCTAAGATAAAACTAGTACCACAGAGTACAAACTTGTATAAGAAGTACCAAAGTTTGTAACACTATAAAACACATTGAGTATGAGGTATCGCCACCCCTTGTTATTCCTTTTTTATTTTGTTCTTTAGAACATATTCCTTGTTGTGAAGAAAAGATGAGGTTAGAAATGAAGAAGACATCTCAATGACTTGCCTTGGAGGAGGAGGTGGAAGGCTTCATTGATGCGGGAAAAATGCATTTCATGACTTATAAACTCGTCCAACTTCACAATCCCTCCTTGCATACAATATTGTTTCACAAAGTGAGGGAGTTGTGATTTCCCTTTGAAGTCCCCGAAGACGGATGCAACGATTCCCCGCCCGTCAAACAACTCCATCGGGTGTAGCGGGAGCAGCCTCGGACTGGGATGCACCCCCAAAACCACCGTCAATCCCCAACCCTGCGCACAATAATATATAGAGGAATTTACCTAAATAGCACTAAAACATAATGACTTTCTCTAAATAGCACTACATATGTTTTTCTTTCCAATGTAGCACTTTTAGTCATTATGCATTAGTCATTATTCAAGCAAAATTTCGCCATCACTGGACATTATGGACATTATAAGTGCTATTTAGAGAATAAAACAGTTTAAGTGCTATTTAGGGAAATGACTTAAGTTTTAGTACTATTTAGTGCAAATATTTCTAATATATGCCAAATTTTCTTAGAGCTAGCCAGGTTCTCAATTTATTGTGAAAAACATAGTAATACACTATATGGTTTGAGATTCTAATCAGCAAAGAACAATCATTATGCTTGAAAAAAGTGACTTGTGCAATCTAAAATGTTTAAAACGTCAAAGAAACACAACACAATACCCGCACTCGGTCTTTCCACAGAGTAATACACTATTATAAGGAATTAATTAACGACAGATTTAAAAGTCGGCTGTAATTTAAAATGGTGATCGAAAGTACATGGCTCATGTTATTGATAATATTCATTATCTGGTAATATTTATTTTCTGAATGTTGAATATGAAATCTCAAATTCGACCAAAATGGTTGAATGTGTAAATTGACGCGAAGACAGAAGTTTTCATGAATCAATGATAATAGTTTTAATAATTAAATTGATAGAAAATTTCGGATTCACCGAAAATCCTAAATCCAGTTTAACATTACCAGAAATAGTTCAAAACTGTGAACACAAAAGAAATGGAGTCTAATAAATGTCACGTATCAATGCCAATTTTTCAAAAGAAATTAAAAACAAAAATTCAAGTTTAGAAAGGGCAAACAGCACTTACGTCGTGAGTTGACAAAAATGCTTCCCTGAGGACGTCCACATTTCCAGCACACTCAAAGCTATAATGGACGCCTCCATCTGTCATTTCCCTAATTTTCTACACCAATTGGATAGAATATTTTTCGTTAGGCAACAATATTACTACCAAGTAAATAAATGGCCCCATTTGCAAATATAAAAAAGGCTAGGCATCAACCTAGAACATGTAGCATCTCATTCGTCTCTAAAGACTCTTTTAATGTGACTTGAATGAAATAGTACTACCTCCGTTTCTCAAAAGAGTTCCTCTTTTGACTTTGAGGGAAAATAAGGAAGTGTTAAATTGTAGTTGACTTTCCAATTTTGCCCTTGATGTGATGGGTAAAAGTAAGATGTGATAGTTTAGTTGTTAGTGAAAAAGTATGATGTGATAGGCAGGGTATGAAAAAGTATGTGTAAAAGTGGTTTTTTAATAGAAAGGGGAAGTGTTTTAAGAAAAACAAAAAAAATGAAAGAGGAAGGGTTTTAAGAAACGGAGGGAGTACATGACAAATATTACCTGGTGAACGGGCATATCTAATTCCTTTGGGTTTATAAAGTCTGTGATTCCGATAGCTTCACCTAAAGAAACACAAGTCACAACATTATTGGCATTCCATTCAAGATATAGATTGTATGTGATTTTAATATAATGCTCTATTCTTTTCAACTTACTCTTATTACTTAGGGTTGTTTGTTTCAGCCTCTTAATGGTTCAGATGTCTGAATGGTTCAACACTTAATGGTTCAGACTGTTTGTTTCAGCCTCTTAATGGTTCAGACATTTGCCTCTGAATGGTTTAGTATTATACAGAGTCTGAATGGTTAAGACCTCTTATCTGAATTGATCAGACATTTGCCTCTGAATAGTTAAGCAATATACTAGCTCTTAATGGTTCAGACCTCATACTGGTTCAGCACTTAATGGTTCAGACCTCTTAATGTTTCAGCACTTACCTATTCAGAAGTTGCCAAACAGCCCCTTATTACCTATTCTTATTGTAATCAAACAATATCAGATTAGATCAGATCAAAAATAATTTTAAATTTAACTAAAATAAGATTAAGATCAGACAAATCAGCCATCAGTAACTTCTTACAATTGCTCTTATTTGTCACTCTTATTTCTCTATTTTCACTTTAAATTCATAACAACTGTTTGTTTATTCCTGATGATCCATAACTTGTATTTCAATCGATTACCAAAATAAAGATGCTTTATGAAAAAATTAAAGAATTAGAATGGCATTAAGCTTGAACTTCTGCAAACTCGTCAAAATAGCCCCATGACCTATCACGGCTTAGACATTTGAAGGTTCCCTTAAGTTGTAGTCTTCCAAGACCGTGATAGGACATGGGGCTATTTCGACGCAACATTCTAATAAATCTTCACAGTTCATGTTTAGCTTTTTGAGAGTTGGGATTGTTTTCCTTTTTCGGCCCCTCCCTCTGCCACAATTATTGTTCCCTCTGATGTACACTTTTTTAGCTGACGAGAACAGTGAAAATTTTATATGGAGGATGAAAATTGCAAGGGATTTTAGACTCCATAGAATAAAAGTTTTTTGGATGCTTTAATCGGCACTAAACATCCCAAAAAAACATATTATATCTGACAAATGTGCACACGGTCCCAAATGGGACCCGAGTGTTTCAAACTTATTTCTACCCAATGCTTTGGTAAATAGGTCTGTAAGTCGTTCTTCCATTGAGACATATTCCAAACTTACCATTTTATCCTCCACTAACTATCTTATAAAGTGATGCTTGATATCAATGTGTTTAGTGCGAGAATGCAACCCAAGGTTTTCTGTTTTACTTATTGCACTGGCACTGTGACAAAAGAGGGGAATAATGCCATATAGCATTCCACAATCCGCAAAAATCAAGTTCATCTATAATAACTGTGCAGAAAAAACTACAAGCAGCGATAGAGAGGGAAACTAAATTTAGTTTGTACTCCTTCATGCAACTAGATTTCCTTTTAGCAATAAATTGTCTCCCTGAGTGCTTTCTCCATCATCAATGTTTCCAGCCCAATCTACATCAATGAACGCCATTAACCCGGCTTAACCACCCTTTGAGTACCATAAGACCACAATCTGAGTTCCTTTGATGTATTTCATGATTTGTTTGACTGGCTTGTGATGCGACTCTTTTGGCTTGGATTGACACTTTGCACGAACTCCAACACAATAGCATATATCTAGACAATTGGCGGTGAGATATGGGAGACTACCAATAATACCTCCCTAGTGTGACATCTACATCCTTTCCCTTGCCATCTCTCTTAGTCTTAAATTTTAGTGTGTGTTAAACAGGATGTTCTAGCACTCATTTCAAATTTTTTGAGCTTGTTCTTATCATACTTTGTTTGTGAAGACAAATTCCATCTTGAGTTTGTTTCATTTGTAGACCCAAAAAGAAAGTGAGTTTGCCCGTCATACTCGTATCAAATTTACTTTCCATGACTTTGATGAATTTATCAACCTTCGCTTGTGACATAAAAATCATGTCTCACTTCTCAACTAACAATCATTTTTTTGGAAGGAAATACACACACACACACACATACACACACACACACACACACACACATAACACATATACTCCCTCCGTCCAAATTTAAAGTTCCCACTATCCTTTTCGGTCCGTCCACAAATAATGTTCCCATTTCCTTTTTTAGTAATTTTTCTTTATCAAAATGTCTAAAGTACCCTCCACATTGCATTTGTTTCCTTTTCTCCTTCCTGCCGCTACCACTCCCCATTTTTCTTTCTTATTTTCCTTTCTTCTACTTCTTCTCTCCTTTCTTCTTCTTCTCTCCTTTTTTTCTTCTCCTTCCGATTTTTCTTCTCTGTTTTTTCTTCTCTTTTTTATTGTTCTTTTTTCTTTCTTCCTCTCTTTTCTTCTCCCCCCTCCGATTTGTTCCACCGAACTATTTTTTTTATGTTTTTTCGTTGTCTTCTTTTTCTTTCTTTTCTTCACCCCCTCCCACTATTCCGATTTGGTCCAGCTGCCCTCCATCTTCATCTCCTCTTCTTTTTTTTCTTCTTTCCTATTCGATCGCTCATATCTTCGTCAGATCTTAAAAATCCAATTCAGATTTGTAAGGAGAACAACGATGATGAAGGATCTTCTTCATCTTCTTCTTTAAATCTGTTTCATCTTCTTCACATCTTCTTCTATTCTTCCACCTTGGTGCGGGAACAGCTCGATTTGGGCCTGAAAGGAATATTGAGGTTGGGAGAAAATTCTCTTTGGCCGGAAATTTCATAGATTTGGATTGCAAGACTTTTGTTATGGCCGGTTCTGATGGTTGGGCGGCGGTAATTTGGGCAGGAACTGCAGGATAGGAATGGGTGGGGAAGTGGTAAAGTGGAGGGTACGTATTTTGGGAAAGTCAATGTAAATTTCAACTTTTATTAAACTCCGTGCCGGTCAAAGCGGGAACATTAAATTTGGACGGAGGGAGTATATATATATATATTTGATACGATGTAGATTGAATGATTTTAGCGTCGCTCAAGAGTTTGAATGCTCTAATGGTATTATGCCTCATGTATCTAATTTTCTCCATCCCCAAGTCTTACCAGACTTTGTATATTTATACCATAGTTGGATAATTGTAAAAATCTTCCACTTGATATTCTTGAGGAACCAAGACTCCTAGTCCAATGAATATTGGTATTCTATTTCTTCATGTAAAATAAATACTCCTTCAGCAATCAATCAATCTCCTGATCTTTAATGTATGGCACTGCAAACGTAGTTCTGTGGTTATCAAACTTCTTCATATGTATGTGTTCATCATGTACTAGACTTCGTGGATTGTGGTAGAATGGTTAAACATTGTCTTAAGGGAACAGACAAGATTTACAGCTCTCTAATACTAACATACATACAGCTATGAACCAGTAAAAACAAAGCTACTCGTTTGTCCAAAAATACTCCAAACAGAGGTTACAAAAACTAAAGACTACGTAGAAGTAACAGCATTTTCAAGACGGATGATGTTGTAAATACTGAGTACTCCATCCGTCCCACTATTCTTGTCTCATCTACTATTCATAGGATCAAACTAAATATATTGTTTTTTTTTTTTACATATTTTCATTATATTCATGTCGTCTCTTGTTTTGTAGAACTTTTGATGTAGTTTTAAATATGCAATTTAAAATTTAAAATTTTACACCAATGATTAGATAAATTCCATCAAAAAGGTTTTAGTCAAATAAAGTTAACTGAAAATGAAAAAAAATAGCGGGACAGAGAGTATTATTTATGGTAGAGGCCAAATGGGAATATTGGACAATTTTTGTAACTTGCAAGACGGATGATGTTGTAAAAACAAATTTAAAAACGAGCCACGTTGGAATAATGGATAGTATTTGTACCTTTTGCAACGAAGAAAGTTGTAAAATGTAAATACACAATTAAATTACTCCCTTCTCCCGATAAAAAAACGCACACTTTAATTTCATACAAATTAAGAAAAATTGTAAAAAGGGAAAAGTATGTGGTTACAATTTATTTAGAAAATAGAGAAATATTGTGAGTCACATAATGTTTTTCTAAAAAGAAAAAAAAGTGAAAGAATTATTTCAAACCATGTGAAAAAGTGAAAAAATCTTTACAAGATGAATTGAATAATTTACTTTTTTTTCCCTTGACCTTATGACACCGTATCAGTCACAATGCATTTGTCCATTTTTTCTTTGAGACCGTCCCCTTATAATGTATAGTGCAATTTATTATTTTCATTATTGTGCCTTCACTTTATTCAACCCTGCTAGAATTCTAGAAAGTTAGGCTAAGTTTTGTGACTTAGTTTCACAACATCCTCTTCCTTGATTGGTCATGTACCAAAAAAATTGACAAACTCATCAAGGTTAAGCTAAATTTTAGGGCATGAATAAGTTGTACCTTTGATGCGCTTCTCCGAGTTGATGTCAACTGCAATAATCTTTGATGCACCTCTAGTTCGTGCACCTTCCACTACCTGCCATTGTGAAAATGATGTTTCAATAATGTAGTAATTCACTTCCTGTTTTCACTTGTCTCAAATTAGTTGTTTGATGTTCATACCGCCAAACCGACAGCTCCCATGCCAAACACCGCAATTGTTTCGCCTGCTTGAACATCGGCAGTGTTCCACACGGCTCCAACTCCTGTCATGATTCAAGTATACGTTTTCACCAAAACTATTTGAAATAATGTGAGTCTTAAGTTTACACCATAGTTTTGAGAAGCAAACCAGTCATGGCACGGGTTCACCCGTTGAACCTGTGGTTCGAACTGCCAAACCAGTGGTTCAAATAAATTTCTTAAAATCCTATATTCACACATAATTTGTATCACAAAGTAAAGTTTCAACAATATCAAATTATCAAATACAGTCCAAAAGTAAAGAAGTTAGTAATATAGTGTTGCATGTAAAAAATACACAATCCCACCAAAATATAACACAAAAATGAAAATCAGTAATCTCTATATTTTGAGAAAACCCATAGTCCATATTAGGTGTCATGTTCCTGGATTTATTAGTAGCTAAAAGTAATGTTTGATTATTTGTTGAAAGGAGGACTAAAACTGACTCTATTTCCTTGAATAGTTCTCTCCTCGTACCGAAGTATTTGTCCAAATTAAGTTTTTTAAGTCAAACTAAACGAACTTTAATCATAACGACATAAATTACATTGTATATTAATACAAGGAAATAAACTTTTGAAACTTTTCTTCAAAATAAATCTAAGAAACCATTCTTCTACTTGGATGGATGAAGTACTATCCTTTTCGGGTTGCCCATTGTCTTTCCTTATTTGGCAAATAATTTGCACCAGAAAGACTAATTTACCTTTCTTCAATTCCCTTTCTCCTCATATTCTCCCTTCTCAACTTTACCCCTCCGATACTTGTAGAAATCAAAGTGGAAGAATGCTTCTAACATCGCTAGTCCAAAAAGGAATAATTTTTCAGGGTCAATTACTGATTTAGGGTAATCAGAGTATAAGATACGGATTAATCCGGAGAAAAACTCATTTAGGGTAATACGAGTATACTGCCGCCGCTCGTCCGCCGCTGACATCCCAACCGCTACCCATCACCAACACCATGACAACCGACACAACCAAGAAGACATGGTTAATTCATGATCCGTCCACGATTTATTATCTTCATCCGTCAGAACACGTCGGAAACGCCTTGACCAAGTACCTACTCAAAAGTGATAATTATGAGGTTTGGGAAAAGGCCATACGTAATGCTCTGGGAGGACGGGGAAAGGCTATTTTCTTGATACCTGATGGTGTTCCCAAACCCAAAGATGAACGTGAACTCGCTGCTTGGGAATCTAACAACTCTATCATCTGTAGTTGGATTTTCAATAACATGGATGAGTCAATTCAGCCTAGTATCGTCTCTCACTCCGTTGCTTCCGTTTTATGGTGAGATCTGAAAAAGAGGTACAGTACCTCGAATGGACCTCGTATTTACCAATTAAAAACAGAATTGAACGCGCTACGGCAAAAGGGGCAAACCGTGGTCGCATATTACAATCAATTCATTACTCTGTGGAATCAGCTGCATGAAACTGGCGATCCTACCAGCGGCTGCACATGTACCGCCGCTACTAATACACGGGCAAAGTTCGAACGAGAAAAGACAATTGATTTCCTACTTGGCTTAGATGATGAACAGTTCGGTCCTCTCTGATCCAACCTCCTGGGCACTGAACCTATACCAGATTTGGATAGAGATTTTCATCTCGTATCACAAGAAGAACGACATCGCACAATTATTCGCAGTCGTGATGATAAAACCGATGCTATGGCCTATGCAACTCACCGAGACGACCGGATCACACGCCCTCCTCCACATTCGGAAAAACTTCTCTGCACACACTGCGGCCGTACAAACCACAACGTTGATGCTTGTTACGAACTGGTTGGGTTTCAGAGCAGTTGAGCTCAAGTTATTAGCTTGATCTTTGGGTGGTTCGTTGCAAACAATCATGGTGATCTCTTAAAGATTTAGCACACTTTTTGAAGCAAGATGTTATATTGATGCAAATCTTGAGGGGGAGTAAATTACAAAAAAGGATGAAGCTCCAGCAGATTCAAATGGGAAGCATGTGCATGGATCTTAATGATAGATTTTATTTGTTTTGCGCTTGTTGTTGTTGTTGCTCTTAAAAGAACTTGGTATAACTTTTCTTTTTTACCCTAAATGAGATTGGCATATTTTGTGTCAAAAAAGGGGGAGAAAAGGCTTAGTTCTTAAAAGATGCTTTAATCTTTTATGCGCATTGTGCACGAAGTATTTTGCCAAAAAATTGCCAAAGAGGGAGATTGTTAGTTCCATGGTATTGGCTAATCTTTTGACAAAATAGAATCCCATATTTGTTAGGTGTTTTACTAGGTAGAAACCTTTATTTGTTAGGAGAGGTTTATTTTATTTAGACTTTTAGAGCTGCTGCAGTTTTCGAGGATGACACAGCAGATCCTACAGCACGATGCTGCAACACAGTGTGCGGGATCAGAGGTCTGAGCACGGGATTTTAAGTTGCAATCTGAATTATAGACCTATTGGGATTGTGATTACATGATATTAAATCCAACTGTACATGCTAAGGAATCCCAACACTTTAGGCTATTTGTGGATCAAGATTAAGGAAGTTGAGTTCAAGCCAACTTCTACTAACCTATTCCGGCCTTATTGGGTGCAAACCCGTCGCTACACCCATTCAACCGGGTCACAATCTCGCTTTGTCCACAAGTCCAGAGATTCGTGACCCTACAAAGTACAGACGCATCGTTGGCCGTTTATTATAGCTTACCCTGACACGTCCGGATATTTGTTTCTCTGTTCATGTGCTATCTCAGTTTATGCAGGCTCCTCGTTTAGATCATCTCAATGCCGCTCTCCGTGTTCTTCGTTATCTTAAAGGACATCCGGGTCAAGGCATTCTCCTCCGCAGTGACAGCAATCTGGCTCTCACCGCTTACTCTGACTCTGATTGGGCAAGTTGTCCTCTTACACGGAGATCCGTTACTGGCTACTTCATCCTTCTTGGGGGTTCGCCGATCTCATGGCATTCCAAGAAACAAACCACCGTGTCACGTTCATCGGCTGAAGCAGAATATCGAGCTTTGGCAAATGCCTGTGCTGAGCTTCGTTGGATCCGCGGTCTTCTTGCAACCCTATCCGTGCCGTGCGTCGCCATCCCCAAGCTCTTCTGTGACAATAAATCTGTGTTATTCATTGCTGCCAATCCCGTATTTCATGAACGCTCCAAACACATTGATATTAATTGCCATATTGTCTGTGAGTGTCTTCTCCGTCAGCAGGTCGTTACGGCTTATGTTCCTACTCGTCTTCAGATTGCTGACATTTTTACAAAGGCACTCCCTAGCCCACTCTTCCGCTTTCTGTTATCCAAGTTGGGAATTATTGATCTTCATGCTCCAACTTGAGGGGGAGTATTGGACTATGTGTGTACATATCTCATATTAGTTTGTTTCCTTATCGAAGTAGGACTCCATATATGTTTCCTAGTATGTTTTGGAAACCATTGTTGTATATATACATGTAGATTGTATCAATAAATCAAGTCATTCAATTCTAAAATTCTACACTTCATAAAGAGAGCCGGGAAGAACATTATAGGACGGAGGGAGTATTTGTTAATTAGGCTTTATTATTATTATTTTTGGTTTTTCTGGGTTTGGAAACCCCTTTTTTTTGACTAAAAACCTCGTCAGTCACTTTTATACACACCCAAAAAAAAGTAAGCATTTGACCCCATATATACTAATTTTGCCCTCATCATCTCCCCATTTTCAGGATCCGCCAAAGTCGTTAATCAGCATTCTTTGTCTTAACTAATTAATTTTATGTTCTTAAGATGTAACACTCCACGTGAAAGCAAAGGCAAGAGCTAAATAGGCTTTGGTGGAGTAGGGGAGTATTTAACTCCGATTGAGTCCTCAACCACCTTTATACACTCAAATTAAATGAACAATTGACCCCATACTACTTTTGCCTTCTATCTCCCATCTTTGTTGCTCGGAATTGTGCAATTAGTAAAGATAAAGAGTGTCAAAGAGATTGTCCTGAGTTCGATTTCTGTAATCTGCATTACGAATCAACTATGCTAAGCATAGGAACTTTGTAAGTGCCAGATGCAGGCTCCAGTCTCTGCCATCAATCTGCGATTAAAGTCAAATTTACTTCTTCTGAATGACCATCTGATCGGGTTTGAGTGGCTCTCGGAGATGGGGTTCATCCTTTTTTTTGGTGAATCAACCATTCTTTGTCTTAATTAATTAATTTTATGTGATTGATGAGATGTAACACCCCACACACGTGAAAGCAAAGGGAAAAGCTAAATGGGCACACTACACATGCATAAAAGGCATGTTGAAAAGTAGCTAGATGGTAGCTAGTATGCAGAATGAGTGAGGGGTAGGGGGTAGGTAGATCACAGTACGTACCGGTGGAGACGCCACAGCTGAGCAGAGTCATGAGTTTGAGGGGGGCGATGGGGTCGATTTTGACGACGCAAGCGGAGTGGACCACCGTGTACTCCGAGAAGGTGGACGTGTTGAGGAAATGGTAGATTGGTTTCCCATCTTTGGTGGAGAACCTGCACTTGCCATCCCCGACCATCACGCCCCTTAACGGGCTCACCCGGAAGTCCTCGCACAAGTTGGTCTTGCTCGACTTGCAGTGTCGACACGCCCCGCACTCCCCGTTGAAGATCGGCACCACGTGGTCCCCCGCTCTCATGTCTCTCACCCCTTCCCCCACGCTCTCCACCACCCTGCATTATAATATTCATCGTCAACATCATACTCGCTCTTTCCCTCCATTTCACAGAATAGTCCGTCCTGCGTTAACTTTTTGCGCATCCTACGAAACACTTTTCTTCCCACACAGTTAAAATCCTCGTGAATACACCTCATTTCTCCCTTATTGCGGATATAAATTATTTTGGGATACTTTAGACACTTTAGGTGGAATAAAAACGTTTTTAGGGATGCGCAAAAGTTAGGTGAAAGTATTTTGCGAAACAAATCGAAGATACTCTTCGTTCAATAAAACAGTTCCAGTTTTGAATTTTGCAGGATTTATTTTTGTAATATGACTTTCCAATTAAATCATTTGCATCGAAAAGAAAAGAAAGACAAACCACTTAAATAACTTATTTTATCATGTAAAATGAATGGAGTATATTGTAATGACTTTATTTAGATATATTAGTCATTTTAATAAAAAAACGGGAGTGTTTTAATTAAAACAAAAAAATTTTAGTGAACAAAGGAAAGAACCTTTGATTAATAAAAATAAAAAGGAGGAGGAACCTATATTACAACCTTTGATTAATAAAAAGTAAAATGGAATAATAAATGAAAAAACGAAAGATGAAAAGAATTAAAGTACTCCGCGGCATAAATTAAACTCTCTAAATGGACAGCAAAAAAATGACATCTCTAAACTTTCAAAAAAGGGAGTATTTTTTTAAAGTCCCAAATAAACTTTTGTTATTAAAATTAAAATCATATATTGACTCCTATTAATAATTAACTTATTTATCAAGTTATATCTACTCATATTTAATATACTAATGACATCTTATTTCAACTCAAAAAAACTAAGAACAAAATGAGAATTACAATTTTTCCTTAAAAAACACTCAAATTACAATTGCTTTAAATATTAGTTTCTCGAACATGGAATGATGTTTTGGGACGGGAAGAGGCGGGAGCATTCCAAAAGCATACGTGTCACCACATTTTGTTGAGAATATCTGATTTGACTGAAGTTATTTTTAAATTATTTTATATGAAAAATTGTATGAAACTAAAAAATAAAAATTACATATTTAGAAACTATATAAAAAAATCTACAAAATTAGAGATGATATGTTTATATTATTTTATCAAATGAGCAACGAAAATACACCAACAAAATAAATAAAATTTAATAATGTAAATAGTGAATAAGAATATTATTGTTGGAAAGGAGGGTATATATAAATGTGATCTTACCCGGAGGCTTCGTGGCCGAGAATTCGGGGGAAAGCACGTTGAGCCTCGTTCTGCATGCAAAACCCACCGCATAATGTATATACATCCAGTACATTTATTATAACCTCATCACAATTTTAAATACTGCTTCTAATTTAAAGAATGTATATAATTTTGATTTAACTCTCTAATTCCACTTTATTGTAGGAAATATATGACGTAATTGATAGAATATTAATATTAAAAAGATATGATTCGATATGTGGATTAATAATTACTCTTCGTGCTATAACATTCTTTTCGTTTTGGTTTACGAGATTCAATTGACGTTATTTTCAATCAATTTGATTATTGGTGTAAAATTAACAATAAATTTACACGTTTTAAAAACATGCCAAAAGTTCTACAAATTAAATTGTGACATGACTATATTATTTTATCAAATAATTAACAAAGATATGTAAAAAAAGTGATTAAGTTAAAGTTTAACTGTATAAATATTACGCAATACCTAGGAAAAGAGTTTTAGGATGGGAAGAAGAAGAGGTACGAGAGATTTTAATTGAAAATGGAATTATTTTTGTACGATTGATGAAAATTGAGCATGGAAATATGTTTTTAACCGCATAAAAGTATTTAAATATATAAAAATTAAAAATAATAAAATAACTGTTAGATGTGTACTTGTGGGTATATAATAATAATATAGCTCTCTCCCTCATTATCATGTTACTAATTCCCAAATGATATTGTTTCAAAATGTTATCCCGTCAATATTACATGATCTCGTTTCAAATCCAGAAGAAAATTATGAGAGGGATGAAATAATATTCCCTCTCTTTGCAAAAAAGATTTTTACTTTGATTTAGAGCCAAAATAAGAAAATATTAGAGCCAAAATAAGAAAATGTAAAATTATAGTTGATCTCTAACTTTGATTCTGATGTAATGGGTAAAAGTAAGATGTGATGGATTGATTATTAGAGAAAAAGTATGAAGTGATAGGTAAGATATGAAAAAATAAGGGTAAAAGTGGTTTTTTAGTAGAAAAGGGAAGTCTTTTGTTGAAAGTGGAAAAAATGAAAGAGAAAGTATTTTTGGGAACGGAGGGAGTATATCACACGGAAGGTGCCCGAATATACGGAGTATTATACACCAAAAATATATTTAAAAAAATAGTTTCACATCCATTTTTTTTTGGGGTACAAAAGGCTTCAATGACGCCAAAAATAATATATACCTCTCCTTTCCAGGCACTGAGATCAGTGTGGCAAATTGAAGTGAAGATGATCTTAATTCGAACCTCCGATTTCTGAGGCGGATCCACTAACACATCCTCCACCACCAGCGCCTCCCCGGGACCATACGCCACCGCCGCTGCAACCACCGTGGGTCCACATATATATATAGTTTCATGAGTTACGAAGTAATAGTTAAATAAATCATCATACGTAACTAATTGATATACACTCTTAATTCTAATAATAGTATAAGAAAAAATTAATTTGAGATCGAGATAAAAAATAATTAAATATATGGCTGACCTTTGCAAGTTATGATCTTGCCTGTAGTATCATCTGGGACGGAGAAGACATTAATGGCAGAGTTATTGGGAACTAAAGAGCCCATAAGTCTTAGCTAGCTGCGCTGTTCTTTTCTTCGACCGATCTTTCTTGTGTATAAATGCGTAAAGTACAATTTTGGAGAGGAGAAAGGGGTGGCAGGCGGACGCTTTTTATAGCATAATAAGGTTTTGCCCATCCAACCTTACCGGTCACATATACTATTCGGTTTAGAATTAAACTATTTGTACCTCAAGAATTGTACCCAGAGCCGTCTCTAAGGAATTAAGGGTCTTGTCCGATACGGACAAAATGCACCATTGTGTGGGACAAAAGTAAAATCTATCAATTAATTTTTTTAAATAATACTCCCTCCGTCCACAAATAAATTTTACGTTCACTATTCACAGGGTCAAACTTTATTCACTTTGTTGGCCTATTTTCGTCACCCATTTAATAAAATAATATAGTCATGTCATCTCTAGTTTTGTAGATATTTTGATATATTTTTTTAATATGTAATTTTTATTTTTCAATTCTACACCATTTTTCATATGAAATGATTTGAAAATAACTCCAGTCAAACATCGTAACGCGCAATGTAAAGTTTATTTGTGGACAGAGGGAGTATATAACAGTGTAGTAATAATAAAATGTCACACTCATCATAGTCTTATAAGATTGTAATTATATACTCCAAACCTTAGTACCTAACCGAAGACTCGTGAAGTTTTTCTATTATTCTTGAAAGAAAAAAAAATGATCACCTCTTCATAGTTTATTAGATTTACTTATTTAGGACTGTATTTTTAAAAATAAATCAAGATTTTTTATATAAATAAATATATACATGTATGTATACAAAAGAATTGGGCCCCAATAAAAAATGGGCCCTGGCCAACTGACCACCTTGCCCCCCCTTTGAGCCGCCCTTGATTGTACCCAATTTGTACACGTCAAGTTTGCATCTTCATTTTGTGCCAGTATAATGTTAGGATGATAGTTTACACAGGCATAAAATGTTAGTATAAATTTTGTTAGCGCACTAGCATTTCCTGTTAGTGTAAACCATCAAAATTCTAGTGTAAATCTTTGGTATTACTGCAGGAAATTTTTTTTTGGTGTAAGTGTAGCATGGTTGTTCTGTTTATCATAGCTAGAGAATAATACCTCTGCGCTGGAGCTAGTACTTGTCTGTCCAATTTTTTTATATCGTCAAAATAAGACAGATTTTGATTATTAATTAAATAAATTTAATCTTTGGATAAGTATTTTAGATTTAACTTGTAAAATAATTTTTAAAATATTGTGTTATCTAATTAATATATTATAATTTGCACTATATAGAATTAAAACATAAGTCATTTTCCAATGTAGGACTTAAACTTTTTTATTTCCTAAATAGTACTCCCTCCGTCCCAAAAAGTTTGTCCCATTTTGACTAAATTGGTAAAATAAGGAGGGATATTTTGGTGTTGACTTTCCAAAAATAATCTTGACGTGATGGGTAAAAGTATGATGTGATGGGTAGATTATTAAGAAAAAAGCATAATGTGATAGGTAGGGTATAAAAAAGTAAGGAGTAAAGTGGTTTTTTAATAGAAATGAAACGGACTTTAAGGGACGCAATTGTTTTGAAACGGGACAGACTTTTTGGGACGGAATGAGTATTTAATAATATCTAGTGGGAAAAATAATGTCGAGTGATAGTAGATATTTACTTGAATAATGATTAATAGATAATGACTAATGATCTTTCATTGGGAAATAAAAAATATATGGTCCTATATTGAAAAGTCATTATATTTTAGTCCTATTTAGATAAATTTCCATTATGTAATTCTTATTTAATGCTCTATTCGTTTTTTAAAACACTTCATCTTTTATTTTTTTTTCTCTTTCACCAAAACACTTCCATTTTTTTTATTTAAAAATTACTTTTATCATTTCTAATTTTTATCCTACCTATCACATTCTACTTTTTACTAATAATCAATCTTTCACATCTTAATTTATAAATATACTTTTTTTATTTTTTCCTATTAGTCAAGATAGGATCTTTTTGATGAATGGAGGATATAATACCTCAAAAGTTAATTTTGATTGCAAAATGTGAACACAGGACAAACTTTTAGAAATGTGCGTGGGAGCAATATTTTTTTCTCACAATCAAATTTACCTTTTCACATTAGGACATTTAAGAAAAATAATATATATATATATATATATATATATATATATATATATATATATATATATATATATATATATATATAT